GTTCCAGAGCCAAGAAAACACAGGCCGGGGAGGAGGGGTGCGGGGGACGGGAATGGAAGGCATTAAACAACAACTGATGGACTCAGCGACTCTTGGAAACTTCAGCGTTCTCATTTAAGTTATTATTTTTTAAAATAACCTTCAGTTTCACGGCCCATAAAGTTAATTTGCAGTTCACAGCCCTCCTCTGTAACTAGACAAAGCCGTTTCCCTTTACATTAGTTAATGTTTGTTCAGCGTTCTGAGCTGGAAAGGACTCTGGAGATCTGAATATTAGCATCATCTTCAGTATTCCCCCCAGGCACATAACTGGCATGGGCTGCGGCACAGACTCTCCCCTCCCTCAAACCCCAGCCCTCGCTGCACCCTGACACTCCAGCACCATGGCAGCTGGAGCTGCCCCCTGCATCTTTACAGGTGACAGCACCCCCATCGTGCCTCCCCGTGCCCAGATCCACGTGCCAGACTCTCACAGGTTCCAGCAGGAGCAGAGTTGTGCCCAGCACCAAGACCCAGGCACTGTCCCTTGCAACTGCTCGAGCAGATGCAGCCCCTCTCTGGGTCCCCTTCTGCTCACATCACCTCTTCCACGAAATACAGCCTCTCCTGCAAACACCGGACCCTTTTCTGGCAGGCCCCTTTCATCCTTCACATGCCCCGCTCTCCTTTTCACTCATCTTCACTAACCCATTTACATCATATTCCTGGTCTATCCCATTTGGAGCCACAGGACAGAGACCTTGTCGCTGGCACCTCCAGAGAGTCCTTTGAGCATTGCCATATGCCATAATCTGCCGCCGCCACTGAGCGCTTCATATATTTGGGCACGCGGAAAGGGACCTTCTTCATCACCTCTGGTTCAGACACGGTGATGGGATTGCTCAAATCCGAGCGACTTGGAAAGCATCAGCAGCTCAACACACAGGCGACGGGGCATTTTTGGACATCGCTTCCAGTTCTGTTAGAGCCACCGAAGCGTCCGGATACCGTTCCTCCAAGGTTAAATCTCCCAGGTAAGAACAAACACAGGTCTACCATTCCTACAAGCACCGCTACATGAGAACATTATTCATAATCTGTCTCAGGATATGCTGCCCTGGATCTCTAGCCTCAATTCCTGCTGTGCCGAACCCACAACACGCGCCTCAGATCTTGGCAGGCGCATGCACATCCCAGAAGAGAGTTAGCACTGCACCAGACGCAGCAACGATCTCTTACACTGAAGAGATGTAACACTCCCCAGGGAAACCACAAGCTACTAAGAAAGTCCTGCCTTGGCCTTTACTTGGAAATAATGCATTTCATATAGCCTCTGGTTTTCTGAATGCAGTAATTTGGCTGAAGTGCGAGCACTGGGCTAGGTCCACCCCATGCTGAGGACTGGTCCTCTGGAATTCAGGCTGCTTTTAAGCCTCTGGGATCAGGCATCCAAAGCCACTAATCCTTGCTGAGAATTTACCTACTTAGCCCCCCGGGCCACCTAAAAAAAAAAATAGGGATCTCATCACCTCCCTCTTCACCCCGCCCCTCCAGCACGTTGTAAAGGTTAGGCATTAGCTTGCAAAGTACCCTCCACAGGTAAGCCCAGAGATAAGGGCCAAGTGCTCTTTGCTTTAATCAACCTTTTCATACAACTGGCTGAGAAGCAAATGCTCCTTCAGCTCCGCGGTGTTGCCTTGTCAGCCCTAATTAACAGTAGGTGGTCAAAAAGGGAGTGCTATGCAGTTCTGGAGGAGACGAATTATTTACACACCCAACACAAAACCGGGACGTGCCCTCCTCCGTGGGACTGCCTGTGTGCAAAGGATGCTGCCAGTCCACCCACGGGTCACTGCAATCTCACTAGGACTTGCACCGTGATCTTGCAAGACAGAAGTCATGAACTTTCCTCTCCAGGATGTCACCCTGGAGGTTTGCAGGCACAACTCCAGAGCAAGACACTCGCCATCAGAGGAGCGGCTTTTTGGACCTGGTCAGCGCCCTGGCCTGTGTGCCTTGGGCATAAGCATGGAGAGAAACGGATCCTTGGAACGACAGGTCGAAAGGGTGACCCTGCAACCAACTGGCCAAGCCCTCCCCGAGTTCAGATTCAACCCCAGCCACCAGCAACCAAAAGTTGTTGCCAGCTGACAGCTGCGCAGTGTTTTTCACGACAGGATCTGGGCTGAAACTGTGAACTCATTTCACACTAGCCACCAATCACCTCCCTGGCACTCTCGGGCATGAAGCCAAGAGTATCCTCCCACCGCGCCGAACAGGAACGGCTGGGTGTAGGCGGCCCTTCTCTTGTACCCATTGTGATGCATGCCACAGAAACAATCCAGCGAGCCCGGAGGGGTTTTATGGCACAGTACAACGCAGGGACATGCAGTCAAGAGACAGATGCAACCGGGGTGAGCCAGGAGATCAGATCAAGGACCCACACAGCTTTTCCTCCCCCTCCACCCCTCATCATCTGCCCTGGCTTCCTGGGTTTCTTCTCTTCCCTACCCCCTCCCTGAAACCATCCATGAATTTACTTACTCGCAGTAATCCAAACAAAGCAGTTGTCATCACCGCACAAAAAGTTTCCAATCTAATGCGGTCACGTTCTGCACTGCTCTCTACAATCTAAAAAAATAAAAATAAAATAAATGCCTGGCAAATGTGACTACATACAGCAACCCCCGTGCAAGGCAGGCTTGAACTGTGCAGCAGGCTCAGTACAGCTCGAGCAGCCGACCCCAAATTACTGAGCAATACAATCTGCAGGACAAACCTCGGTAAAACCCGGGTTCACCGAGGTCATCGGGAGTTTTGGAACGGGCCGGCTGGATTCACACGTTCACCTCCCAGACTCTTGCTCGGGAATTAGTAGTGATAAAGACAATGAGGCGCTCTCCTCTTCAAAGTGCATTACAGAAGCCGGAGCAGCGGCCAGACATATTCCCACCCACACATCCAAATCGCAAGCTAAAAGTAAACGGTAACCTTCCTCCACCCCTGGCATGCCCGGGAGTCGCAGCTGCATCTCCCCAAGATTATCAAGGCTACTGAACGATCGAGGTTACGGATAATCAGAAGCAGACTGCAAAACTTGAAACGTTTGGTGTCCCGGGCTTTGACACGCTAGCTCGGATTTGCTGAAGCAGAGGTCGTGGAAAAGTTCAGATGATAATTGCAGCTCCGCAGAAAAAATGCAGTTCGAGGAAACAGCAGCAAGACACGAATCACCTAAAGCATCCGCTTGCTCCTCTCATCTGAATTTTTTTACCTGACCCTCGCACAAAGTTCAGAGACCAGCTCGAGCCTTCGGCACGGACCGAACCGGTTGCAACCTTACGGCCGCATGCCTCGAGTACCAGCACCGCAGAGGCGGGGATGGATTTGGTGGGTCCACTCATAGCCCACAGGCCCAGGCGGAAGAGGGTGGCACCGAGGCCAGCCACTTTCACGGCTGCTGTCCACCTGGCCGGCACCCACATGGCAAAGCAGTCGGCTTCACCAGCCTCGGAGGGCGAGGAAGAGTGCAGTCAGGGAAAGGACGAGGATGCTGATAAACAGTGAGAGCTGATTAAAAAAACAAAAAGCAATCACACTCCCGAGCCTGCAGCTGGAGACAGCAAGGGACACTTGTTGCCTGCAGACACCACCCTCCCTGCCCTGTTTACCCAACATAAATATTGACACATCCGCCCCTCGGCTCAGCATTTAGGGGAAACACGCTCGTGGCTCTTATCTCCGCCCACGGGGGACCTGCCTGGCCGGGGCTGCCTGCTGCTCTCTGCCACACGCGTCACATTTGGAGCCATCGCTGAGAAACTTTATTAGGCCTCCATTGCCTACACAGCTCCGAGCAGATGGGATCTTGAGCCAGGAGCTTTCAAACGGACACGACGAGAGACGGTGGGGGGGGAAAAATGCATGCAACGGTGGGAATACAGCAGAGAGATACACCCAGGAGGCACCGGCAAGCATGCCCAAAGAAGCGGTGCTTCCTGCCTCTCCCCTGCCGGTCTCAAATTCATGTCGATAGCTGTAAAAAATAAATAAATAAATCAATCAATCCAGTCCTCACTCGGATCCAGGAACTGCTGTTCCCAGAAAGCCTGTCACATGCAGCCATTTGGAAGAGAGAGATGTGGGTGGAAGGGGAGGAGGGAGGCACTGGAGTGACCCCGGCTCCCAAGGGGGGACGGCAGAGGAAACGATTTACAAAAGCAACTTTGTGACCCGGGAGAGGAAGCGTCGGGGTCCCTCGGAAGAAGAAAGTTTCTTCGTTCGGAGCAACTCGCAACCGCAACGGCAAGGGTGGCGTGCCAGCTGCTCCATCACGGGCACCCCTGCCCACCAAGGCCAGGAAGGCTGTGCCGGGAGCCTGTGCCCCCCAGGAAGGGCGGGGTGCGCTTTCCCCTCTCTTTGGCTCCATCCTCGCCGCCAAACGCTGCCATTTCACCCGGTGCCTCTAGGATGCTGCGTGGACACGCGTTGCAAAACCTCCGGTTTGGCCCTCCCCGGCGCGGTCAATTAGCCAAGGCTAAGACACGCTCCCTCGGGCCTCCCCCACCCCGCTCAGCCTCATCCGTCCGCGGCGAAGCATTTGGGGGGAGCAGGGAAAACACATCCCAGAAAACCAAATCGACTCAAACGGAGGGCGGCCGAGAGATACCCAAGCACGTTAAAACCGGCCGAAAGGGACGGGGCGACCCCCCTTTTCCTGCACGCCGCCGGATTAGCACAATCCCACCCGAGCTGGCGCGGGCAGGGAATCCCTGTCTAGACGAGACGGGCAGACAGGGGTGTCTGTCCGCCCGCGACACGGGGGTTTCGGGAAGCCGCGCTGCGAAACACGGGGCGCGGGGCACGACGATCGCCCCCCGCTGCCCTGCACACGCACAACTACACGGGCACGCTCAAACACACGCATCAGCCAACCTTGCAGGAACTTCATGCGCCCACGACCCCCCCGGTGCAGCTCTGCCCCCCCAAAAGGGTGGGGGGCGAAGCCCCCCCGCTTTCACCTGGTCTCGCCTTCCCCATCGCCTCCCGCGGGCAGCGGCGCCTCTCCGCGCGCGGGGCAGCGGCCCGTGTTTGTAATCCGCAGCCGGGGCCGCCTCCCCGGCCGGGGGCAAGTGCGCTCCTCCTCCGCTGCGCTCGCGGCCGCGCCGCGCCG